TAGTAAACCCTTTTAAATGCATGTGTATACACACACATGCTCCCAAAACCCAACCCAACCCAACTAACCCTTCATCCCAAAAACAATTGGGTTTGACTATAACCCATGTGTTGGAAGCAGAAGATAAACCTGAATGATATCTATAATTGAAAATTAAAAAAGTAAACATAAAAAGTTTCAGCTTTTATTCTCTCCTGTCATACTGGCTGTTGAAAAACTGTTCTTTCTATCCAACAAAGTTGAATATATCTGTACCATGTAAGTTGAGAAATATGTTGTAGCACGACTCCAAATTATGTTCTGACTGGAGCACTCAACAAAGTGGTAAAAGCTCAACTCTGAAGGATATCTGTCACCTGGTGCTAAATGTGTAAGGAAGATACAGAATTTGTTGTTCATTTACTATGGCATCACTCTGCTGCCTGGGATATTTATTATTTGGTCCTTTGGTTTTTGTTTTTAGTTGTTTAGGGAGTGTCAAACTTGATGGGGCATGTTATGTCTACAAGGTGTGATACTGCTGTAGTTTTAAGTTCTGGTTTAGGAATAAACATCTGACTACATGCACCTTTCATTACTTTTTTTGGTTCATTATCATTTTTAATTTCTGTTTACAAGAACATATTTGGACATTCTTAACAGAGATATTTAGGTTAGTTACCATGTGGGTATTGTATGAGATATTTGCTGTTGCATGAACGAGAAATTACATTTAGTTTCGGGTATTTTAGCTGCACTGCATCCATATGGAAATATGTGATTTATACATATCAAGATCTGTCAATCATTAATCTAAGAAATGAAGTACTATGGAATGAAGAAATTGAGGAAGAAAAAGAAGAAGAGGAAATGGACGATGAAGAATTAGAGGAACATGATTATGAAACCATTAAGATATTGTTGATGGCAACAGAAGCAATAGCTCAAGTGCTCAATGCTTTAACGGCTCTCATACATGATGGTCATATTGAACGTTCATTAGCTCGACGCCCAATTTCTACAATTGGGTACAATTATATAAATAAGGTACTGAATGAGGATCCTCAACACTTTCGACAGTTATATAGGATGTACCCTGATGTGTTTTTGAAGCTATGTGGTATTATTAGAGAGAAAACGCATTTGCATGATACAAGATTTATTTGTATTGAAGAAATGCTTGCAACATTTTTACTCACTGTTGGTCAAAATTCTCGATATTGTCAAACTCGTGACACATTTGAGCGATCACATTTCACAACAAGCAAAAATTTCAATAAAGTTTTGAAGGCCTTAAACACAATAGCCCCAGAGATGATGGTCAAACCTGGATCCACAGTGCCAGCTAAAATAAGAGAAAGTACAAGGTTTTACCCTTATTTTAAGGTAAGTAATGACTACTTCATTCGTTATAATAAATATTATTATTATTATTATAGTTTTTGTATTAGTATTAGTACTGTTATTATTCAAAATACATAACATCTAATGCCTTAATTTATTTTAGGGTTGCATTGGAGCTATTGATGGCACACATATACCAGCAATGGTGACAGGGCGCGAAGTAAGTAGTTATCGTGATCGTCACGGTAAAATATCACAAAACGTGCTAGCTGCTTGTAACTTTGATTTGGAATTCATATACGTTCTTAGCGGATGGGAGGGTTCAGCTCATGATTCCAAAGTGTTAAATGATTCTTTATCAAGGAGGAATGGACTTAAAGTGCCACCAGGTATATATTTATTTATTTATGTCTATATTAGGTTGTATTGTAAATATTAATTGGATTTGTGTCGTATATTCAGGTAAATATTTCTTAGTGGATTGTGGATTCCCAAATCGGCGTCAATTTTTAGCTCCATTTCGAGATGTTCGATATCATCTTTAGGATTTTTCCGGTCAAGGTCGTGATCCTGAAAATGCAGCTGAGTTGTTCAATCTTAGACATGCTTCCTTAAGAAACGTAATAGAGAGAATATTCGGTATATTTAAATCACGATTCACAATTTTTAAGTCTGCCCCTCCATTTCCATATGAGACACAAGCAGAGTTGGTCTTAGCTTGTGCAGGGTTGCACAATTTTCTCCGCAAGGAGTGTCGTTCTGATGAATTTCCTATTGAAGAAAACAACGAGCATTCAGCGTCGTCATCATCACCAGAAACTGAGGGAAATAATTATGACCAAGTTTTTCAAACCCAAGAACAACAACGCGAGAATGCTAACCAATGGAGGGTTGGGATATCTTCAGTTATGTGGAGAAATGCTATGAATGAAGGGAGTCAAAGATGAGCAATGAAGCCGATACTTATTCGTTTTTATGCATTTAGAATTATAGTTTACTTATCATTTGCGTCTTTTTCTTAAACACGCAGACATAAATTCTTATTTGGTTGCACCTTTGAACAAAATGGATGCACTTTTTTTATTTTCTTTGGATGTATATGGTTTGGACGTTTTACAAAATGTTTTTCAAAAGATAGTTTTCTCTTTCGAAAATCTAGAAAAATGATAAACAGCTCCCAAAAAAAAAAAAAAACATTTTAGAACTCTAATCAACTCTTTTAAAATCTATGATAAAACTCTAACAAACACTATTAAAATCAATCTAAGAATTCAATCAAACTCTATGTGGAGTTTATAGAAATCAATTGAAATATATTGAACTCTATAAACTTTATAACACCATTTAACTCTTTTAAAATCTTAATTGAATACACCCCTTAAAATCAAACTCTATGTCCGATTAGGTAAATTCCCATCCCAAACCAAAATCAAAGCAACGCGGTGGTGGATTTTGATACCTCCGCAGCGGAGTCAGACGAAGAAGGAGACAGAAACTGAGAAATTGAGAGAGAAGACGGAGATGGCTGTGAACCCTCAACTGTTCCCTAATGGCATGCCTGTTCCTTTTGTGAACGAGATGTTGGTTCTCGCCGAGGTCGATAAGATTCCTGGGTTCGTTCTCACTTCTCAATTCCCTTCTCCTCAATCATCTTCATCATCATTCAATTTGCCATATTCTTACAAGTTTGATTTAATTGATGCCTCTCTTTCTCTTTGAAACATGGCCTTGCGTTTTAATTTGATTTTGCCAACACTAATTCATTCATTCATTCTGCTCTTTCAGTACCCAATTTGAATAAATAAAAATTATGGGGTATTGATTTGAAATTTGATTGAATGTATGCCCAAAATCGTAGCTTGATTGATTTGTGTTGGGAGGGTGCAAGAATACAAATGAGTAAATTGTTAATTTAATCCCATTTCTTGTTATATTGGAGTGGGAAGATAGCAGTGTAGCAATTGCATAATTTGGTGTTGAATTGTGTATTGCCTTCGACTTTGAGATCTGATGGTGGTCGTCTTAAAGCAAAGGGGACAATCTACTTGTCAAATATACGCATGGTCTTTGTTTCAAACAAGCCTGTTGGAAACTTTATTACTTTTGATATGCCCCTGGTATGTGATACTTAGTTTTACCTCAACATTGCTTTCCTTCCATCGTTATGTTGCTTTTTCTTTGAGAACTTCACTTGAAACTGAGTCAACTCGCAAAGTTTCTTTGCACCTAATGATTCTTCTGTAACCCCTTTTGTGTGATTGTGGGGTTTCCATGACTTGTGGTTTTGATTTCCTGCATATTGAATGTATCTTGACCACAGCTTCTGACTTTTATTTTGATGCCAAAATATGTTAACAAAGGAAGTTTTAACATTTATTGTTCTCTGGTGTAAGTCTCTGGACTTTTGTTCTTATTTTAATTGTGATTTTAACTGTGGAAGGTGGTCTCAAGAAGAGATTGGGATATTTTTCCTACGGTAGATTTAGCATGTACACATGGGAAATGTTCAGGGTAAAAAAAAAAAGCTTTTAGGTTAAGATTAGAGTATTGTGAGCTACATTCAGACTTTGTTTATGTCAAATACTTGTATTTGATGTTACTTCTGAGTTCTTCTTTCCCTTTTATTATAAGTGTGATTTAGATGAACTTTGATGATTTCTCTGCAATATATGTTACTTTGGGCTATTTAACATAGTTTGTAAAATCCTTGATACGATCTTATGATTGGATCTCAAGTGCTCTCTTGTGGATCTTAGGTAGGATCCTGATTTTGAAAACCCGGCATCTAACTTCCATTATGTAACAAAGAGTAATTCAAAATTATAATATATTTAATCAACCTTTTATGTCACAATTTTGTCCCAAACCTACGGCCAGCCATGATCCACCACTACAACAATCCTAATTTTCCCAGTGAATCACTTTTATCCCACAGCATTAATTTGCCACTATTTCTAACGACCGTTGGATGTTATCCTATCCAACAGTTGCTGGGTTTCAGGTGCTGACTGGTTCCTAATTCTAGGGGCTCAGGTGAGTGCTGCTATTATTATGTGTAAGGCTAAAAAGTGCTGTTGTCTGTGATGATCAGCTTGCTTGTTTGAAGTTTGTAAGGATTCTTTTGTCTTGGTGCAGTTTTGGCACAAATTTGATGTCTTCTGCAGTCGTTCTTTTACATCCATTTATTTGCATCTCACTGACCTTTGTGTTGCATCTCACTGACATTTATTTGCATAAGATGGAGGCAATACTTGCTCCTCCTAAACCCCTCCTCATAATTGTGGGGTTTGCATTTTAATATTAAAATTCAATTTTTTAAAGATATACTGATGAAATTTGATAGAGCAGATTGTATATTATCTGTTGTGGATAGAGATGATACATTTTCTCTGAGAAATTTTAGTTGGGTTTTCTCAGCATTTGTTTAATTTAGTCGCTAGTATTACACCACACCAGCATTATATTGATGCTGATGTGGACTAATTAGTTAGGACAGGTGTCAAGATTAGTTAAATTAATTTTTCTTTGTTGTCATATGGCAATGTATGTAGGCATTCTAGCTTCTGTTGGAAGAGATGATATCATTATCATATTGAATGAAATTACAGAGTTCTTCACTTCTCTGTTTCTCTCTTGCTCTCTAACCCTATATTCTTCAAAATTTTAGCCTTCATTCTACTGTAGTTCTGTGATATTTGAATGAATCCATGACATCTATCATAATTAGCCTTCTATCTTATATATATGGTTATGGACGCTATGGTTTACACTGACCATGAAAGAGACTCTTGTGAAAGAGGTCTAAAGGAATGGAACTTACTATTATATTAGTGTATACGATGTTGTGGGTTTTGCGAATTAATATTGTTTTTCTTGGAACAATAGTGACCTTTGAATTTTCAGATATACTTGATGAAATTTGATAGGGCAAATCGTATATCATCCATTGTGGACAAAGAGATGGATTCACTTTGAGAAATTTTACTTGTCTTCTCAGCATTTGCTAAATTAGTCTGCTATCTTGTATTTAAATTGACCATTAGAGAAAGTCCTGTGAACAAGGTCTAAAATAATGGAGTTTATTATGACATTTAATTATGTGTGCAATGTTGTAGTATTTGTGTTGAAACCAGGGTATTATTGATAATATCGTTTTTATTGAGGTGGAGATATTTTAGCACATATCCACTTAATTATCGTCAATATATCGATATTTTTGTCGATATTATCGCGATAATATCAGGGATGATAATTTCCTATACGTTCATGCATTATTTGGGCAATATATCGAGCGATATGAAACCGAAAAATACATTAAAAATGTTGAGAAAACTCGCTTTTGCGCAAAGAGTGATTCAAACCCCTCCCTGTCTCAACCACACACTGAGCCTTATCCAACCCACTGCGGATCACTTTGTGATTTTATCTTCAGCGTGTAATGTTTATAAGGTCTTTAAAATGTCTGCAAGCTAATATTATCTAGGATAAATTTCCATATATAAAAAATTCCTTAAGGATAAATTTAGGCATATATTTAATGTTATTTATTATTTTATTATGGAGTTGTAGTATTATTATTCACTTTGAGTTTTAATATTGTTCATTATATGTGATATTAAGTTTGAACTTTAATAGGAATTCTTTCTACGTGGTACTAAGTTACTCATACATTTTATCTTTGTTGTTTTGGTCATGCTCATATATCTTATCATATATATCAAGTGTGATATATTGTAGTAAATTATTATAACTAAAAAATTATGGTGTGTTTAATTTTCTTTCACTAATTACTACATATTTTCTAAAGTCACAATGTTTGTCATGTCGCTACATAATCAACTTAAATAACTCAAACCCACCATGCCATGCATTTCCTTCCAATTTTTTCCTGATAAAATAATAGACAATTGACTAAGTAAACATCTTCCAAAGTTTCAATACAAATTTTCAAGTTTTTCTCACAATTTTCCTCGATATTTCCATCGATATATCCATGTTTTTGGACCACCGATATTTCCGAAACTCTCGATATTTTAGACCTTGGTTGAAACCAAGAAAATTGGATGAACTAGTCACTGTGCTACGGTCTATTTACACCCATGAGCTTGTTGAATTTCTGACGTTATATTTTATGTATGAAGGTTACTGGTAAATGGCAAGCAAAGCAGCACAAGATAGCAGCGCTTGTCAATCAGGTTAAGAGCCTTCAAGGAAAGTTTACACGTTGCAACCCAAGGCTTGTGCCCCAAAATCATATTAAATTTGCATTTAAACTTGCAAGAGATGCAATAGTGTCTCAATCTCAGACCAACCAACCTGCACAATCTACCACTTGTAAGAATGTGAATGAGACTTGAGTGATTATGTTTGGAAGATACTGATGTTAGTAAAATGTTTTCGGTTGATGGCTGCCTGCATCGGTATTGCTTTTCTTGTATGAAACAACATGTGAATGTGAAGTTGCTTCACGGGATGATTCCTAGATGCCCTCATGAAGGTTGTAAGTCCGACCTTAGTGTTGACAGTTGTGCAAAATTCTTGACACCTAAACTTGTGGAAACAATGCGCCAACGCATAAAGGAAGCTTCAATTCCTGCTGCGGAAAAAGTTTATTGCCCATATCCAAGGTGCCTACGCTTTAATATCAAAACATGAGCTTTTAGAACACTCCAAAAAAACCTTGAGGGATGTGGAACTATCAGGAATTAGGAAATGCATGAAATGCAACTGCCCTTTCTGCATCAATTGTAAAGTCCCTTGGCACAAAAACAAAACATGCTCTGACTACAAAAAGCTGAATCCTTATCCCCCAGAAGAAGATACAAAGCTAAAGTCTCTTGCCTCAAGGAATCTGTGGCGTCAGTGTGTGAAATGCAACCATATGACTGAACTTGCTGAAGGTTGCTACCACATGACTTGCAGGTATTTAGTCCCCATTTTTTGGAGTTTACCCCTCATAATAACTTTTCGAAATTATTTTCAGTAAAAAAATATGTGAGGGAACAAGATTTGTTTTAGACATTTCAATCTACCTCATGTTAGGAAGCTGTTATTGTTGCCCCGAAAAAAGTTATTATGCATTGTTTTTTTATAAAAGGCAAAATAGCTTTGCGGAGTTTTAAATTTTTTTTTTTAAAAAAAAGTAAGTATCATAGGATGACCAATACCTTTGTGTTAGTTGAATTGGCCCATACCTCTGGTGTGCTCCCAAATGGTCATGGATTCATGCCCGTATTGTATCTGCGTGTGAGTTTTCTCCCAACCATTCCTAACTTTGGAAACATTAAAACAAAAAACAAAAATATTATAGGATGGAGAAATTCTATAATGAGGACTATCATATATGGACCATAAATGTGGACCTTCATATTAGGCAGAAGCTGAAAAGAAGTTTGAACAGTAGTCTGAAAAGACTAATGCTGCGCAAAAGAAAAAATGTAATCTTGGAAGTTGGTGCTAGAAGAGGTGTGCGGGTTTTGTATTTCCACAATTGGGTTTCATTAACCTGGTTCATTTCCAGCAATAAACCCCAGCCTTGGCAGGACAGGGCCCGAGCCCAGGCAGCAGGTTCCAGCGGGCCAAAGGAGCCCTGGCAAGCTGTGGGTCCCACGAGACTGGGCCAGCCCGCAGGCCAAACCAGCTTGACCTCTAGCCTAGGTTTGCTGACGTCAGCAACCAAATTTTTTTTTTAAATCTAAAAAAATACTAAAAATTTCAGAATTTTTTAAAAATAAATACTTGGTCATATTCTTCACTTCCCACACCAAAACTCTATACAAATTCCTCTCATAATATCTCATGTGAATAGTAGCTGCTATGACAATGGGTGAAAATACCACAATGTTGTGCAATGGCTGCCACTATTCACATGAATAGTAACAGCCCATATCTTGCCCTTTGCCGTGTCAAATAGGTGAAAGTGCTCTGAGATGAATAGTATGGTTAATAATATAGTATGCATATAAAGCATATTGCAGCACTCACCATAGAACGACTCATAGGATGGCGAAGGGTTTAGAATGAGAGAGTACGTTGTGATCTTTGGGCTTTCCTAGCTACTTGGGTAATTCTAAGGGTTCACTGGGCGATCATGGGGCTTCACGTCGTCGCCATTGTCATCTTCACCAGAGGCTTTCTGCTCACTCGAACGGAGCTTCCATTTTACGGCAATTGCTCCGACGTTTCCCAATCCCCTTGCTCCTTCAGCGTCAACGAAATTCAAAAGCAGAACCAAAACGACACCGTCAATCAAAATCAGCAGCGTTGTTGGAGCAAACCTGCGGTTGGCCGCCTCGTCATCGTCGTTTTTGATGCTCTCAGGTAAACCAATTTCCATTATTGTATCAAATTTTATCGAAGACAAGCATGTGGGCATCTCAATCTGTTAATGTTTTTCTTTCTTTCTCTCAGGTTTGACTTTGTAGCTCCCAGTACAATATTTTTTTTCTCAAGGTTAGCATTCTCACCTCACTACTCAGTGCCTGCAAATAAAATTACGATTATAAATTAAAGTGCATAATGAATCATATGTTGCAGAATTAAAGCCATGGATGGACAAATTACAACTTGTAAAAGACCTGGCAGCTAAAAATGCATAATCTGCTCGGATTTTCAAAGCCATTGCTGATCCACCTACGACAAGTTTGCAGCGTTTGAAGGTTAGCTTATCACTTCCTTGTTCTGAATTCTAATGCTAGCTTCAACATGGCTGCTCTGTACAATGCTTCATGCACCACTTTTAGTTTATGGCTTCTACGAATTACAATGGCTGCTCATTACATTTTGGGTTTGCTTTTCTAGTGTCACAGTATGCTTTGATGTTCCAACTTTAGTGAAATTAGAGCCTGATTGCCAGCTTCATGTCAAGGATGAATTTTTTAATTCCATCAATTTCTTCCCTTGCAATATTTACTAGGGCTCGACAACCGGTGGACTCCCTACTTTTATTGATGTTGGGAACAGCTTTGGTGCTCCAGCAATAGTTGAAGATAACTTGATACATCAGGTTGCTTTATCTCTATCTGTCCCACCCTCCCCATGTTTGTACTAGCATCAATTTGTGTACTGTAAATGATGCAGAATGCATATTATTAGTTTTCCTAATTCTACTTGGATTAGTTTTCCTATTATTAGTTCCTAATTCTACTTGGATTAGTTTTCCTATTATTAGTTTTCCTAATTCTTAAAGATTCCTTCCTAGGAAAGGATTTCTTATTAGTTAATTTGCTATCCTATTTCTTAAAGTTTACATTTCCTTTTCCTAGACTAAAAAGGGTTTTGCCTCTATAAATAGAGCTGTTTGTAATCTTTTAAGGCAGACTTGATTAATGATAAATTTCCTTACTTTAAATTCTCTGATTCCTTCCCTTTCCCTTCGTCTCTTCGATCTCTAATTGTTCTCCTCGATCCCATATCTCTTCTCTATTCTACTGTTCAAGTATTTACTCTAACTCTACGGGCTGTTCTACATCAGTAAAGGTATTTCCTTTTTTCAAGTTATAAAACTTCTCTGTCTTGTAAATTTGAAATGTGGACTAACTTGCAGTTGGTTAAAAATGGGAAGCAAGTTGTGATGATGGGGGATGATGCATGGATGCAGTTGATTCCAAATCATTTTGAAAAATTGTTTCCTTATCCCTCTTTTAATGTTAGAGATCTTGATACGGTATGCCCTATATGCTAAACTTTTAGTAACATTTCCTTGAATGTGGTCATATTGTTGAATATAATGATGGCTAAAAGTAATTATTCTTACTGTTCCAGGTGGACAACAGTTGCATTGACCACCTTCTTCCATTCTTGTACCAAGATGATTGGGATGTTCTTATCGCACACTTTCTTGATGCAGTATTTGTGCAGTGATGAACAGAGTTGGATATTTTGGTTTCAAATTTTAGGTGTATCTTCCCCTCAGAAAATTTCATGGAAAAAAATCAAATATTAACTGCCTTTGTTTGCTCATGCTATAAATTTATATGATATGATCTTAATGGTTTATGTTATTATTATTATTATTCAACTTGCTACATATGAGCAAATTTAGTCCTTGTTTTCATAGATTACCAATCAGTAATATTTTCTTTTCTTCTTCTGTTTGAGTAACTTGATTGAATGACAGAGTATTTTCTGTGTTCCTTTCCTTCAATTGAAATACATTTGGGTGTTACCCTTTCTACTCAGCGTCATGGTCACCTAAACTGTGCTATAACGTTGGTTTTCTTTTCAGTATTGGGCGTGTTAATCCGCAGATATATGCTTTAGGGGCTGGAACATGGAATTTTGAAGAAAGAGTGGGAAATTACAAAAATCAGTCAAAGTTGGAAGAAAGGATGCTGAATTATGCCAATGTACTCTGCACCAATTATTGGCAGGTATTTATTTTTTAATTTATATCATGTCAATCTATTTCATCAATTCTTAGAAGAATGGTTCAGGGATCCTTTTTTGATGAACCACTTCACGGGTTGTATTAGGTTTTGCCGTAAATGGGTAGCCCTTTTACTTCTCGAACCCTCTGGCCACCCGTCCCTCTTAAAGGGAGGAGAGGTAGTGAGTACCACTTTGACTAGATTAGTGGTATGTTTTTCAGAATATAAAGCAGCTGCCTTTGACAGTTTTATTTTGGGAAAGAGAAAACTCATCATTTGATAGGTGTCCAGAAATAGTATAAGAACCTGTCAGATGACAGGTATGTTTTTCAGAATATAAAGCAGCTGCCTTCGACAGTTTTATTTTGGGAAAGAGAAAACTCATCATTTGATGGGTGTCCAGAAATAGTATAAGGGGTTCACCTAAAATGTGCTTTAGGTCTAGCTTTTATTTTATTTTATTTTATCTATCCTCCCCTAATTTCCTCAACAAACTGATCAGTTTGCTTTAGAAAGTAGTTACTGGAGAGCCAGTCTGCGCCAGGGGGACTACATGAGAATACTCTTCTACTTGTGATGGGCGATCATGGGCAGACCGTAAATGGAGATCACGGTGGGGGGGAGTGCTAAAGAGGTATATTACATGTATAAGGCATATATTGTTTTTAAAGGGTTTTCATATTATGTTCACTGATTCTAACTTGAACACAATGTAGGTTGAGACATCAAAATTTACAGTGAGCTTTAAGAATCCCCCATCTCCCTTACCGTCAGAGTTTGATACTTCATCTTGTGGACAGGATTTGGTACTGCCTCTCTCCCAAAGTACACATATATGCTTGCGGCTTATACATTACATGTAGATCTTCTTACATTGAATTAGTTGCTCCCTTAGCCATCCTTTTCTTATACTTCAGTGGATGTTCAGTTTTATTTCCTTGACGCATAAAATATAAATATTTAAAATGGTTGGACTGTGAGATATTTAAATTCACAGAAATTAGTTTTCACGGAAGTAGTTTGCCTTCCAGACGTGTGATTAGAGTCGGAGTCCTATTAGCCGTTGTAGAACTTTAAAGAAGAAAGTATCTTTGTTGAAATGGCATTTTTAGTTAGGTTATTATGAGTCATAAGCCAATTTGTTTTCTTCTGATTAAATTATTTATAGTACGGTTTCTGGGAAGGACGAATATTTGCTTCAGTTCCATCCAGCAGGTTAGAATGGGTTAACATATTTGTTTTTTTTCATCTCACTCTATGTAAATTATGATATATTTCCATACACCCATCCTTAGTCCAAGTCACTCTCTGCAGCTTGACTTTGCAGTGACGATATCGGCTCTGCTTGGTATCCCCTTTCCTTTTGGAAGGTGTAGTGTAAGCATCCTGTCAATATAAGTTTCGCCATTATACATGCCATTACTTATTGATTATATTGATCATGAATTCACATCTCTTTTAGCCTATTTAGGCAGACGTTGTTTCTCTCTTTTATCAGTCTTATTGCAAAAGGTTCTTACCTGGTATTATTCTTATTTTATCTGAAATAATTATCATTTTAGTAACCTACGGTTGTGTTATTTGCAAATACTATTTTAGGATGACTATATGAACATGGAAACTTTGGAGAGTCGTTTGCACAATTTGATTAAGCGACCCCAAAACCAGAGACAGCAGTATCAACAGCTTGTTATTTCTTCCTCTCCTATTGGTACGATGATACCGACCCCTGGTATGCTAAGAAGCACGGACACGGATACGGATACGGCGATACGATACGACACGATACGGGGATACGGCAAATTTCCAAAAACTAGGATACGATACGTCATGGATACGGCAATTAAAAATTTATATTAAAATATAATAATAAAAATATATAAATTTTAAAACATATTTTAATTAACATAAAAATTCAAATTCATCAACCAAATTCAAATTTAAACTCTAGAAAAATAAAAAAACTGAACTCTCAATTACAATATTTGTAATGTCTTCCCCAGTAAATAAAGCAACCTCCAATGATGGCTCATCAAGAGAAAGGTTAGCAATTTCAAGCATCCCAACACCCTCTTCACCCAAGTTATCAAATCCATCTCCTCCAATATCCCACATTTGAGTAACACCTTCTTTGTAGCTTGGGCTCTTCCTTGATAAAAGACGAAGATTATTATGCACAAATACCAAGTCTTCAGCTCTTTGGGGTGTTAACTTGTTTCTTCTTAAAGAGTGAATGAAACTATATGTACTCCAATTTCTTTCACAACACGAGGAGGAACAAGGTTGTCCAAGTAGCTTCAAAGCTATGGATTGGAGAGTTGGTGTTGAAGCTCCATGAACAATCCACCACACCATTGGTTCCATGTGAAACCTATCATTCATAGCATCAATAGCGCCAAAGTCATCTAAGCACATTGAAAAAGAGGCATACTCCACATTGATATCTCTTCTAGCTCGGTCATCTGAAAAGTATTTCTCAAGACACTTTTTTCTTTCGCTTGTAATCTCAATATCTTGGTGTGGAGCAACACGGCTAGGATCCTCTTGCAGCCATTCTGGACTATAAAACCTAAAAGTAAAGTGTAATATAATTTCATAAAATTATCACAATATGAAAAGTAAATTTAAAATCCTTTAAAAGGAAAAAAGCACATAATACTTACCTAGGATTTAAAGAATGTGCCAAACAATGGAGTGGTGTGCTACTCTTAGTCCATCGCTCCACTAAAATGTGATACACCACATCAAAAAAGTCGCTTTGTTCATGCAGTTGCTTGTGTTCTTTCCTATAGATAGCTACCTTCACCTTCTCTATCATGGTATCCCACCACTCATAAACCAAGTGAAGAGAAGGTTTATCTGTGTCTGCCATTCTAATCATCTCATATATAGAAGCTGTAAAGGAAAGTATATAATCAATATTATCCCAAAAGTATTCATCCAAAATCTTTTCCTTCACTGCTCTTGCTTTGCCAACATCTTCCTCTTTATATAAAGACCAGTTTGGACTAATCACCATTTGTTGTAGACCTTTCTTTACTTCCTTAAATCTTCTAATCATCACAAGTGTAGAGGCAAATCTTGTTTCAGCAATGGAGAGCATCTTCAATTTGCAGTGGTT